TGGTGGGTATGCACTCTTGAAGCCTCCCGGGTATTTGCACAAGCGCTGAGACATCTGATGCAAAGAGGAAGTAGCGAGGAGACGCTTCCAGTGACAATAAATAGTTTTAAATGGCACCTTATCTAGAGCCACGGTGGTAACACGAGGCGGCAAAGGCTTAAAATAAGAGTAGTGTCACGATTATCATGTAATGTCACGATCTGTCTGTGTTGTGTTTTGTCTTGTCTAGATCTGTCTGTGGTTTCCTGTCAGTTTCCCTGGTGTGTCTAATTTACCCGATTGTGTTCACCTGGTGTCCCTGTGTTTTCTCCTCCCTCCTCACCTGTGTCTTGTTTGTATGATTAGTCTTGTGTGTATTTAAGTTCTGTTTTTTCTGTCTGTCTTTGTCGGTTCGTCTTTTGTTGGTGACTGAGTTCACCGGTGAGTGTTCTGTTTTGTCTGTGTTAGTTTCATTTTCCTTGAAATAAAGGTTTATCAGAGTTATCTGCATTTGGGTCCTGCTTCCTTCACTCAACCGTGACAGTACGAACCGACCAGAAATGGACCCAGCAGATGATCCATTTGAGGTGGAACTTCAAACATTTTCCTTTGATTTGGCTTGCTGCTATGATTGGTGGAAGGGAGCGTCCAGTGTTCTGCAGAAGGAGGCCGCTCTGGTAGAGGCGCACCGGTTGGCTATGGAGAAACCAGACTTGGTGAAATGAAAAACCTGGCTGGATTTTGAACTTCCTCTGGGTATGTGATTTCCAGCCTGCTGACTACAAACGTCTCGGTGTGTTCCGTCTGGAGTCAGCCAGTGCTTCTGCCCCAGTTCCTGCTCCTGTCCAGGAGTCGTTTTCTGGAACTCGTCTGGCTTTTGGAGGTCCACGGAGCCTTCAGGCGGCTTCTAAGAGAAGGAGTTGCAAGTCCAGGCTAGCAGCCCGAGCCCCAAGAGCCATGATTCCGGTCCCAGTTCTGGCCCCAGCGGCCATGGTTCCGGCTCCAGAACCGGTCCCCACAGCCATGGTTCCGGCTCCAGAACCGGCCCATGCAGCCATGGTCCCTGCTACAGAACCAGCCCACACAGCCATGGTCCCAGCCCCAGTCCTGGCCCCAGCAGTCATGGCTCCGGCCCCAGCAGCCATGGTTCCGGCTTCAGTACCGGCCCCAGTAGCCATGGTCCCAACTCCAGTTTCGGCTCCAGGACTGGCTCTCCGGCCGACGCCAGCTCCCCGTATCCTGTCGGCGTACCGACCGACACAAGTCCCCTCTCAAGTTCCCTCTCAAGTCTCCTCTCAGGTCCCCTCTCGAGTCTCTTCTCGAGTCCCCTCTCAAGACCCTTCTCAAGACCCCTCTCAAGTCCCCTCTCAAGTCCCCTCTCAAGTCTCCTCTCCAGTTCCCTCTCAAGTCTCCTCTCGAGCTACCTCTCGAGTCACCTCTCAAGCCACCTCTCGAGTCACCTCTCAAGTCTCCTTACAATTAAATTCTCCAGTTCCCTCTCAAGTCCCCTCTCGAGTCCCCTCTCAGGTCCCCTCTCGAGTCTCTTCTCGAGTCCCTTCTCGAGTCCCCTCTCAAGACCCCTCTCAAGTCCCCGCTCGACTTCCCTCTCAAGTCCCCTCTCAAGTCTCCTCTCCAGTTCCCTCTCGAGCTACCTCTCGAGTCACCTCTCAAGTCACCTCTCAAGTCTCCTTACAATTCAATTCTCAAGTCTCCTCTCCAGTTCCCTCTCAAGTCTCCTCTCCAGTTCCCTCTCGAGTCCCCTCTCAAGTCTCCTCTCGAGTCCCCTCTCAAGTCTCCTCTCGAGTCCCCTCTCAAGTCCCCTCTCAAGTCCCCTCTCAAGTTCCCTCTCAGGTCCCCTCTCGAGTCACCTCTCGAGTTCCCTCAAGTCTCCGTTCAAGTTCCCTCTTGAGATCCCTCTCAAGGCACCTCTCAAGTCACCTCTCGAGTCCCCTCTCAATCCCCTCTCAAGTCCCTACCCAATGTCCTGGTCCGTTGGAGGTTCCGCTGGGGGTCCTGCCAACCCTGTGTCCTGTGCCGTTGGAGGCCCCGCCGTCTACTCTTCTCCCGGGGGTCCTGCCAACCCTATGTCCTGTGCCGTTGGAGGTTCCGCTGGGGGTCCTGCCAACTCTATGTCCTGTCCCGTTGGGGGTCCCGCCGACTACTCTTCTGCCGGGGGTCCTGCCAACCCTATGTCCTGTGCCGTTGGAGGTCCCGCCGACTACTCTCCTGCCGGGGGTCCTGCCAACCCTGTGTCCTGTACCGTTGGGGGTCCCGCCGACTATTCTTCTGCCGGGGGTCCTGCCAACCCTATGTCCTGTGCCGTTGGAGGTCCCGCCAACTACTCTCCTGCCAGGGGTCCTGCCAACCCTGTGTCCTGTACCGTTGGGGGTCCCGCCGACTACTCTTCTCCCGGGGGTCCTGCCAACCCTATGTCCTGTGCCGTTGGAGGTTCCGCTGGGGGTCCTGCCAACTCTATGTCCTGTCCCGTTGGGGGTCCCGCCGACTACTCTTCTGCCGGGGGTCCTGCAACCCTATGTCCTGTGCCGTTGGAGGTCCCGCCGACTACTCTCCTGCCGGGGGTCCTGCCAACCCTGTGTCCTGTACCGTTGGGGGTCCCGCCGACTATTCTTCTGCCGGGGGTCCTGCCAACCCTATGTCCTGTGCCGTTGGAGGTCCCGCCAACTACTCTCCTGCCAGGGGTCCTGCCAACCCTGTGTCCTGTACCGTTGGGGGTCCCGCCGACTACTCTTCTGCCGGGGGTCCTGCCAACCCTATGTCCTGTTCCGTTGGAGGACCCGCTGAGAATCCTGCCAATCCCATGTCTTGTTCCGTTGGAGGTCCCGCCGTTACCTGTCTCGCCGGGGGTCCTGCCAACTCCTGGTCCTCTTCCGTGGGGGATCCTGCCGAAGCCTGTCCCACCAGCTCTGGTTCCTGTCCGGCCGACACCGGGTCCTGCCCGGCCTCCGGAGCTGTCTGGTCTTCGCCCTCGAGCCCGGCCTTCTGAGAGCCGCGGTCTTCGCCTTCGGGCCCGATCCCCTGAGAGCCGCGGTCTTCGCCCTCGAGCCCGGCCCCCTGAGAGCCGTGGTCTTCACCTTCGAGCCCGGCCCCCTGAGAGCCGTGGTCTTCGGCCTCGAGCCCGGCCCCCTGAGTGCCGCGGTCTTCGGCCTCGAGCCCGGCCCCCTGAGAGCCACGGTCTTCGCCCTCATGCTCGGCCCCCTGACTCTTCCTGCCGCTGCCTTCGCCCTCATGCTCGGCCCCCTGAGTTTGCCCGCTGTGGTCTTCGCCCCTCCATGGACTCTACCTTGCCCCCGGGCCGTCCGCCCGAGACCCCCACCTTGGACTTTGCCTTGCCCCCCGGCCGTCCACCCGAGATCCCTTCTGGGCCCTCAGCTGTGCTCCTGGGCTGTCAGCCCTGGGCTGTCAGCCCAAAGCCCAAGTAGGCTGAAAATTCAATTGTGGATATACTCTAAAATAAATACAACAGTGAGGATGCAGAACATTGCCTAAGAAAAGGATATATGTATTGTTGATAGTTAACATTTCTGCACTTTTGGATAACTAATAAGAAGAGTGTCATATAAACCTTCAATAAAGTGGACCTAGTATGCTCCTTTTCAGGTTCATACTTGTATTGTGTGCCTCTACTGTGACATGTTTACATGCTTTAATGTCTCTTTTCACCCTCTGTCTGAAACCAGAGCCCAGTCTGCTCTGATTGGTTAGCTGGCTGGTTAGCTGGCAGCCTCTGTTGTAATTGGTCAACTGCAATGCCCCACCGGCCTATCACGTAAAATGTGTTGGAGCGCTAGCCAATAGAAGCATGATGTTACACAGTGATGTCATTATTTTACTGAAGTAAAATGGAGGCGTTTCAGGCAGGGAGAAAACCTCCCTCTGGAGGGAACACATGGATTTTAGCCTTTGCAGACCATTTAAATGCACAAAAACCTACATAACGGCCCGTCGACAGCGTCGACAGCTTCAATCTGCCCATTCACTTTGAATGGGGTGACGTCACGTTGCCTCGCTTTTTCGCCGAACTGAATTGTGGGTAGCATAGCGGTCCGTCTCCGCTGAACATTCAACTTCTGACGCCGGAGTAGCCAGCGCCAGCCAATCAAATCCCGTTTCGGAAAATCTGACAGCTCAAGCCATAGCCAATCAAACCGCGTCTAAGCTGGGAGAGATATCCCGCCGTTCATTTCTATATTTAAAAAAAAGATGGAGGAGAAACGAATTATCGCCGTAGCAAATCACCCGGTTTTGTATGACCAGACCGTCTTCACCTACCGGGATACAAACCGGAGTTACCAGGCATGGAGGGAGGTGGCAGAGACAGTGGGTGAAACTGGTAGGTTTTCGCCTGTTTGTGGAGTTTATATATATATTGCTCCCATAAAATCCCCGGGGGTTTTTGCTTTGTATGTCGGGGGCGGGAGATTCATGTGATTGGTTGTTGGTCGCGTTGCTTGAATAAAATCCCCAAGCTTCAGACACGCCCAGCTCCAAGCTTTTTTTGAAGCTGTAGTGTTGACGCTCCGTAACAGTCTACAGGAAACGGGAAAATCCCAAAGAGCATAAGCCACCCCTTTAATAAGAAATACTACACAATATATAATATTCCATAAAATATACAACCATTTTAAATATAAAAAATCACAAAATGCCAAATTACACACAGAAAATACCTGGGAGCAAATCAACAAGCAGTGAGCTAAAAAAATTAAAGCCGAGAAATTGTACAAATAGTGATTTAAGATGGTCACAACTCTCATACTGTCTCACAGGCACTAACAGCGGTGTTACCGGCCGTTGTCTCCATCAGGCAGTGTACACAGCATTTTAGAAGCGACAACAGCACTTGGAGAAGATCAAAACGGGTAATGGAGAAACAAAGTTCCTGAATGAAAGATCTTCAGGAAAGATTCAGTTCCTTGGATTGAACTGTATTGTGTTTCGAATAAAGGGCGTTTTGTGTACAGGGTACCAGAAAAATAAAACTACCTTTATCTTCTCCACAGACACTGGTGATGGACACTCGACAACCTGAACAGACATGAAATTGGTTTGTTTATAATAGTAAGTTCTGTGATTTAAAAGAAGAGAAGTGTAGTAAGCCAATGCCAAGAAGCTTTCAATCACTAAGCTCAAATGTTGCTCTGTTGAGCATGTGGCAATAACAGCAAACTAAAGCTAAAGTAAATGCTTCGTAGTAACCTGATAAACATTCATAGTTTGCATTTTTGTTAGATTAAATCAGAAACTGCTCATACGATTTATAGAGTTACCTCAACCTGACAGGGGAAAAAAACGTATTGTTTTAGAAAATATTTCAAACCAATCACAACGAGAGCCCAGAACATGAACCTGTTAAAGTATCTATGTTGCTGATTAAACACTTTTTAAGAAAACATTTGTGCCAGTTTTTTGGCAGTGAGCCGTTTCCAGGGAACCAGTAGAGACAGTTGCTCGGGGGGGAAAAGCCCATCACATAATCCTTGGCAAAATTAGATTTTCATACTTTTTTTTATGGATTAAACAAATTGAATTTATTAGTTTGTTAAGTGAGTTTAAGAGGTGCTAGAACGGGACATTGTGTTACTCCTTGGCCTTGACCAGGGACACGGGGAGAGTTGGGGGTGCCTAAAGAAAGTAAGTCAATATAATGATGTCACTTTTAATATTGCGCAACTTCATGGTTTTTGCAGTACTTTCGCTTGCCAGGATCATTTATGTAATAATTCTTAACAAATTAGTGCACACATTTAAAGATGTTTAAAATAAACGGATACAAATCTTGAACACCATCATAATGTTTACCAAAGCAGGCACAGCAACAACACTCAAGCATGAGAACTGCAGGGAGAAGATACGGCAGTGCGACAGCGCGTGCAAAAGGGTGGCTGTGTTTGTTTGTAAATCTGAAATGCAGCTATCATCACATGTTCATCACAGATTGATAACGTCAAAGATCCTGCCCTAGCAACCAACTGAGACTAATTATGTTTCTTCTCTCTTCATTAACACGGATTATGACAGTAGGCCTACTACAGTATGAATCCCTGGCACCGAGCTGCATCTTACCATAAACAGACATGTGACCAGTATGTTCAATATTCATGAACACAGCTGGGACGTAGGGTTACTTCCCTGATTGATCATTTTCGTGAGCGCGACAACTCAACATGACCTGCAGAAATGTTATTTTGGCTGTTGATTAGATACCTTCCTTTGATCGCCATCACACATTTCTAGGATTGTGTTTAGAGCTCCGTGAAAAGTGCATCTCCCCCCCGGACCTCAGACAACAGCCCCCTCAGGCTACACAGACATATTTATCTCTTTTAAGAGATGCCCCCACTCTCAGGTGTTGGACAGGTTTTAACTCCCCAACACTCAGGAAACATCTTTGGGCAGCTGGATGTTCCTCAACCCCCCCGGCGAGTTCAGTTCAAAGCAAAAGAAAGAGCTGCCTGCGGTCACAAAGTCTAGTCGATCAGTCCTCTATGATCACTCTCTGCGCTGCTGTCAATCACAGCCCTGAGTCACCATCTGCTGTGGGGACAGAGAGGGAGAACAGGACTATTTGATATCCTTCGTGGGCATGTGTGATACTAAATATGAATGTTTTTCTACTTGTTTAATGTCCTTTAACTCTGTAAACAAGCGATATAAATAAAACCAAGCTATGCAGTAAATGTGAAATGGAAAGGTTATGTGTCTGAGAACAAATACATGCTTGCAGTGAATTCAGCTTGTGAATTTACCTTGTGAAGAAACAAATGTGCTTGCAGCTTTTGAATCTCTTTTGCTATATGTGCTGCCACTTTCACCCTTTTCATTTGAAGAAAGTAAAGAGCATATCAAAGATTACATTTGGATTACTATTGCAGATCTTAATCACAAAACTATTTGCACTATTTGCAAATCTTTTGAATTATTGGGGAAATATTCATATGCAAATGATGTGTGGGTTGGAGTTGAACTGTGACAGCACACAATTGCACACCTCATTGAAATTGTAATACTTCTTGGATCCAAAGATGAAGCGTGAAATGAAAGAGTTTAGCATTATTACTGTACTGCATTCATGAATGCTTTCCGTTCGAACTTGTGAAACCTATGTTTCACAGTCCCATCTCGCCCAGAACATCAACTTTTTATAATAACAATTATTTTTATGTTGGGAAACTGTTTGAGGACATATTGTGCTTTTTCACCACTACATTATCTGACGGCTGAAATGCATATTCAGATTTTATATTCCATGCAAAGGTGACTCTTTTTACATTTCTTTCACTCCTTTTTTTGTTTTCTTCCATTCAGTTTCTTTTTATTTTCCTCCATTCCTGCTTGCAGTCTACAACTGACCATGTGGAAAGAGTGACAACTACATCATTTCTCCACCAGATCATTGATACTAAATCATCTTTTCAAAGATATGAGTGTTAAAATACATCATAATCAAGCAATTCATCTATTGGCAGGAACTCTGTCACCTTTTTTTCTGAAAAGGGGCCATATTATACTAATATTCAGGTTCATATTTGTATTGTGTGCTTCTACTGTCACATGTCTCCATGCTTTAATGTTCAAAAAGCTCTTTATTTGTCTCACACTGCCTGTGCTGCAGCACCTCTTTTCACCCTCTGTCTGAAACCAGAGCCCAGTCTGCTCTGATTGTGATTGGTTAACCGCCCTTTACAATGTGTTGGAGCGCTAGCCAAGCGGGGATTTAGCCTTTGCAGACCATTTACTAAAACCTTTTCAACACACTACAGAAAAAGGGAAAACCCCAAAAGCACAACAGGGCTGCTTAAAAACCCAAGGAAATCTGACACGTGTTTCATTTTACTTAGAGGTCACCTATTATGCAAAATCCACTTTCTCCTGTCTTTTATACATAAACACGTGTCCCCTTTGTGTAAAGAGATTCTGAAGGTTTCAGGAAAAAAACATTCACTCTCTTTCTGTCCTGATCCATTTATATAAAAACCTGTCTGAAAATGAGCTGATCAGATTTTGGCCACTTTATGATGTCATAACGATTTTTTGGCTTGTGTAACCATTAGCCAACCCCCCCGACTGAGGGCTGAAACAGAGGGGATTATGGGATGCTGCAATGATCTGTTTGGTGTTTCAGCCAAACACTTCAGAAACATGTTTTGTATATATCTGAGACCTATAATAAAGTTATGAAAAACACTATAATAGGTGACCTTTAAAGTTTGACTGCTGGACTTCTACTCTACAGCTGATGGACTCATCTCCAATGATCTACTGTTGTTTCAAATGATATCAGAACTTTTTTAATTAAGTGAACCATGCTGGAATCAATTTTTTGAAAGCATCAGGAAATCTTGCCCTCAACCACAGCAGATTTATATTACAAAACGAGGAAAATTGAAGATAATACGTTTGTTGCTTCCCGATAATCAAACCCACTGTGAAGTAAATGAGAACATCTGTCTCGACTGCAGCAGAAAGGAGGAAGAGAACAAGCTAAAGAGAGGAGGGAGGTAGGAGAGAAACCTCCCTGCTGCAGCCAGAGGAAAGAACTGAAGGATACGATTTCAGTGAACACAACCTACATTTCACTCAGAGTACAAGAGACTTTGAACAATATTTCACTACGGCTGACATAACCTCCTCCTCCTGTCACACACACACACACACACACACACCACACACACACACACACACACACACACACACACACACACACACACACACACACACACACACACACACCACACACACACACACACACACACACACACACATACACACACCACACACACACACACACAGTACAGCCTATGGTTTATATAGCAGTGGTGTCAGTTTAAGGCGAATGCAAGTTCAGTCTAACAGAAAAAGTGCCCAGACGGAGTTTCATTGTTCTAATTTTCCCCATGTTCCATTGCATTGTTCAGCTCTGTGACACGGTTTGACAGACAGCTCGGTTAATGTTGACGGGTTTAGAGGGCGTCTATGGTTTTCCAACCTACTTTAGATGAAACCATTCCCAACTCTGTAGCACCGAAGCATTTACGGCTCTGTTCCCATAGAAACTGCGCTCATGTGTGTCCCGTGAATTATGACGACTATACAGTAGCTTGGGAAATGGTGACATGGGGCACTGGATTTGATTAATTTAATGTTTAACAGACCATACATGAGACAATAATTAGCTAGCTAGCATGCAATGTTCTGGCTACATTTTAATGTGATACATGCTATCATATATTTCACTTGTCATGGTCCATCAAGTCTATGATTACCGTTTATGGAAGTGTTGTCAGAAATCATAATACATTAGATCAGGTTGTTAAGAAAACCATTTGCAAGTTAATGCCAAGGTCATTGACTTTTTTTTTCTAAATTCATAAAATGATTAGGATTTTTTGAAGGATTATGATTCTACAGCACAAAAAATATATTATCATTTGTATTACCTTTTAGAAATACTTCCTTTTTTCAAACATTGAACAGCATGTGTCTTCCCGCAAGGCTGCACTCGGCTTCTGTCAACTGAGAGACTAAAAACAATCTTGACAGAGAAGCTAGAAGATTGCATGAAAAATGCCACTTGTAAATAACAAAGTGATTCTACTCTCTTGTATCCCGATGGGATGTCTTTAATAGAAGAAAGACTGTAAAAACAAAGGGCACGCATGGAGAAGATGCAGAGATCTACACCCTGCTCCTCTTAGTTTTTTTACTAAGGGTGATGTGCAAAGCCACTGATGAACTCCAGCTGTGCCGTTACACAGGGCACCCAGCTGGAAGACGCCTCTTTGAGCCAGCACAGTATGCTGGCAGCTAATCATCGGGCCTTGACGTCTGGCATCCCACTGTCATTTCAGGAGTTGTAAAAAGGGAAGTGTGGGACAGATCTGTGGATTATTAGCACTGCTGTCATCAATCCCATGTTCACAACAAATGTTTGCTTAATCCAACGGGAAATAATGTATTCTTAAAGTAGCACAGATTCCTGACAAACCTGAGGATATCTCTGCCTGTCCCCTGCCAGAAATGACCTCCATTCCAGCTACATATACACAGTGGCTCCAGCACTTCAAAGCAGATCTGCTCATCCTCTGACTGCCTATAGGAGAATGTCCCGCCATTAGCATAACCATGTTGTCCCTTAAAGCACTTTTACATACAAATCAGCATTCACCCATGTATACAGAGGGACTGCCATACAAGCCACATGCTCAGGGAAACTAACATTCATAACCCTAACCCTAACCCACACACACATCATTAACAACTGAGGGTTAAGTGCTTGGGACTACATCAACATTTTGACTACAAGGGCTTGGAAGACAACCACCTACCTCATAGCCACAGCTGACACCACCCGAACCCGTCAACTTCAACCAAGCCGCCAGCTGACCCGATGTTGTTACCTTAACTATTTGATGTGTTTTGCTGCCCCTGGGAGTCTGATGAAATGTAGCCAACATGGGAACATTTATGACTGTTTATGTCCGTTAATTAAACAAACATGGTCATTGGACCTTGTTGCTTTGTGTTGGTGTGACAGTGTTTGTGTGTTATGCTGCTTTACCTGTTCTGGTAGCATTGGTTTCAGAAAATGTCAATGCCCTTAGGTTTTATAGTATCTAATGTTGATATCCAAACTATCTCAGCTTCTTAATTTGAGCCATATTCCATATTTGGTTTATTTTTCTTACTGTGACTTTAACAGGTTTTAATACATGTTCCAGAAAATGCTGTAATGTACTAATGGAGTGTGTATTGCTCTTTTTCAAAATGTTACATATCCTATCATAAGAGAATCTTACTAGAATGGTATCACATACATTGTATTCAATGTATATATTCTAAACATGCAATAAAGACTTCTTCAGTCACAGCTCTTATGATCTTGAAAACATTGTTTGTTGGCCAGTTTTGGTGATATCCCTAAGGTCAAATGGGTATACAGAATATTAGACACTAGGTGGTTTGGTCTGGTAAAATGTGTTGTGGATTTTCTAAAGAGCTACACTACCCTCTAGTGGTCAAAGCCAAAACTAACACTTAAGTAGCCAGTTTGAAATCTTCTTATCGAACCAGCCCCAGCAAGTGTGCTTATGGTGGTAAATTGTTTTGTGTAGAAGGGCTGGGCTGTCTGTCTTTTTGGAAATAAAATGTTAGATAAAAGTTGTGGGTTTTACAGAAATGTGCACTTTTTAATTTGGTAATATTCAAAAATCAACAGAAGTCAACTGGTAGTATATTTAACCTTGATGGATGAAATGGTTGTTCAGGGAAAACAAAAAAAATGACACTTTATCATCATCCAGATATACAGTGGGGCAAAAAAGTATTTAGTCAGCCACCAATTGTGCAAGTTCTCCCATTCAAAAAGGAGAGAGGCCTGTAATTTTCATCCTAGGTATACTTCAACTATGAGACAAAATGAGAAAAGAAAAAAAAAAATCCAGAAAATCACATTGTCTGATTTTTAGAAGAATTTATTTGCAAATTATGGTGGAAAATAAGTATTTGGTCAATAACAAAAGTTCATCTCAATACTTTGTTGTATACCCTTTGTTGGCAATGACAGAGGTCAAACGTTTTCTGTAAGTCTTCACAAGGTTTTCACACACTGTTGCTGGTATTTTGGCCCATTCCTCCATGCAGATCTCCTCTAGAGCAGTGATGTTTTGGGGCTGTCGCTGGGCAACACGGACTTTCAACTCCCTCCAAAGATTTTCTATGGGGTTGAGATCTGGAGACTGGCTAGGCCACTCCAGGACCTTGAAATACTTCTTACGAAGCCACTCCTTTGTTGCCCGGGCGGTGTGTTTGGGATCATTGTCATGCTGAAAGACCCAGCCACGTTTCATCTTCAATGCCCTTGCTGATGGAAGGAGGTTGTCACTCAAAATCTCACGATACATGGCCCCATTCATTCTTTCCTTTACACGGATCAGTCGTCCTGGTCCCTTTGCAGAAAAACAGCCCCAAAGCATGATGTTTCCACCCCCATGTTTCACAGTAGGTGTTCTTTGGATGCAACTCAGCATTCTTTCTCCTCCAAACACGTCTAGTTGAGTTTTTACCAAAAAGTTCTATTTTGGTTTCATCTGACCATATGACATTCTCCCAATCCTCTTCTGCATCATCTAAATGCTCTCTAGCAAACTTCAGACGGGCCTGGACATGTACTGGCTTAAGCAGGGGGACACGTCTGGCACTGCAGGATTTGAGTCCCTGGCGGCGTAGTGTGTTACTGATGGTAGCCTTTGTTACTTTGGTCCCAGCTCTCTGCAGGTCATTGACTAGGTCCCCGCGTGTAGTTCTGGGATTTTTGCTCACCATTCTTGTGATCATTTTGACCCCACGGGGTGAGATCTTGCGTGGAGCCCCAGATCGAGGGAGATTATCAGTGGTCTTGTATGTCTTCCATTTTCTAATAATTGCTCCCAGTTGATTTCTTCACACCAAGCTGCTTACCTATTGCAGATTCAGTCTTCCCAGCCTGGTGCAGGTCTACAATTTTGTTTCTGGTGTCCTTTGACAGCTCTTTGGTCTTGGCCATAGTGGAGTTTGGAGTGTGACTGTTTGAGGTTGTGGACAGGTGTCTTTTATACTGATAACGAGTTCAAACAGGTGCCATTAATACAGTTAACGAGTGGAGGACAGAGGAGGCTCTTAAAGAAGTTACAGGTCTGTGAGAGCCAGAAATCTTGTTTGTTTGTAGGTGACCAAATACTCATTTTACCGAGGAATTTACCAATTAATTCATTAAAACTCCTACAATGTGATTTCCTGGATTCTTTCCCCCCATTCTGTCTCATAGTTGAAGTGTACCTAGGATGAAAATTACAGGCCTCATCTTTTTAAGTGGGAGAACTTGCACAATTGGTGGCTGACTAAATACTTTTTTGCCCCACTGTATAATGTACAGGCCACTTTGTGCATGATGATATACTCGGCCAAGGAAGAGTAAGCATATGCAGGGGCAAAACATACGCTCATACATTTTGAGTTACAATAAAGGTTGTAATTCTCAAATGTTACATAATCATTTGATTCCATTCAGAATCCTAGATAGCCTGAGTACCAATTAAATATTTGGTGAAAATGTATTAATTTGAAATACTTTAGCATGTGTTAGCAATAGGCTTTGGTAAAAACATAAACTATAACTTATTTTGAAACTTTTGGGTTTGGTGAAAAGTAATTTTGCACGCATTCTAAAACAAGCCAAAACCTTAATGAGGAAGCATTTCTCTTAAGTTTCCAGAATAAAATGTCTTAGTAAACTTTAGAAGGCATCCATCCTAAATGTGTTCATCATTAGTAACAAAGCAATGCTATCACAAGCAACTAATCAGCCCCATTAAAGCCAAAACATTGATTTCTCCTTGTTAAATATATTGCAGATGTAAAAACAAGTTTTTTTTTTAATTCATACATATTTTATTACAATTATTTGAAATTCATATCAAGCAATAAGCTCCAACTGAGACCATACACACACATTAGCAAGCATAGACCCACTGCTGCCTGACAGAACTACAGGAAACACGCAGATATTTAAAATGAGCCACTGATGATGCAAGGCAATCACAGAAACTGTAATCCCTTCAGAGGAATCCAGACACGTCTGCAGCCGCTGTAAAAGCAATTACTGGGATGTACACAAAAAAGAAAAATGTTGGAAGGTATGAAGAGGGCTGAAATAAATAACGATAGAGATGTGCAGAATTATTACAGTACGTGTCGGGAACTTGACAGCGAAGCCCACATGTATTTGAAGATTAACTTAGTAAACCGGCTCCCCCTGTGTTGCTGCAGAGCTGCCTGAGGTGTCCCGGAGTCTTCACTGTGGAGGCTGTGAATGACATGCAGCACCGATCATGTTGTTGATCATCACTTCTGACATGCTGCTCTTCTCCAACCTGTTAAGGACAGTAAAAACACATTTATTCAGTCAGAGTTAAAATAAATCAACAATTTCCCCAAAAATAAAATAGTGTTTGGTTTTTAAATGTTTCACCTTAAGTCAACATTCAGGTTTTATTAAAACATGGCCTCACCTGGGCAAAAACCTGCATGCTGGAGTAAAGTCTCCAAACTAAATCTGTGATACTGCATCACGGAGGCAGGATGTGGGTCAGGATGAAAGGCAATGGGATCAAAGCAGGCACAGCCTAAAGACAGAATAAGTCATCAATGAGTCAAATGAAAACAAAACGGTCCAAGATGGGTATTTGTAATTAGTGTCATTGCATCATTTACCAGATCTGTACTATGATCTTTGAGAATATAAAGACATTCAATACTGACTGTTCCAACATCTCAGTTGCAGAATCCTTTTTTTCTGATTACAGCAAACCACAGGGTTCCTTCAGCTTAAGGCAAGTTAGATTTACATTAAATAACGACAATGAAATTAACCCTCTGGAGACGGTGGACTCGCCGGCACGTCCAGGTGCGCATTATTAACGTAATTAAAATCATATATTTTCGATTATAAGGAGTAGAAATATGATTCAGATATCCGCGGAATCGCTGGAAGAGTAGCTTTCCAGCGGTATCTCCTGTGAGACTGTAACCAGGGCACAGCAGCCAATATGGCCACTCAAAGCAGCTTGACTCTGCGTTACAATAGAGGTTTTTCAATACTCAAATTTCCCCTCCTCGACTCCTCCGGTAGTGACCCGGAAATGAATTTCAGCGCGCCATGTTGAAGTTCATCTCATTTCTCTAAATGCACTTCGAGGATCGAGCGTCGAGGAGGCTCTCTGGAGGAGCTCTAACCGAGGAGACATCCTCCACGGCTCCTCCGCGGATGCATTTCCGGGAACGGTGGAGGCGTGACGCACGGCCGGACTTATCTCAGCCAATGATAGCTCTGCATGCATCCCCTGGATATTATTTTAGTAACTGCTTTCATCGCAACGCCATGTTTACAGTGAGAACAGCTGTGAGGTCCGTGCAGAAAGCAGAGCAGTGTGTAAAATATATATCACTCAGTATAACAGGCCTACATTACTTTCTGTATTTGTATGCTGCAGTTTAGTAGATATCTACAAACAAAGAGTCGATATTTTTCTAAAACCATTTAGTGCTTCACAATAATAAAATACACAACGGCTGTATCCTGATTATGCTTTAGGAGCAGTAGGTGTGTGTGGTACAGTGTGTAGGTGTGTGTGGTACAGTGTGTAGGTGTGTGTGTGTGGTAGTGTGTAGGTGTGTGGTACAGTGCGTAGATGCGGCGGACAGACGGGTCTCAGTTGGTTTGGTGTCCTCTGCTTACTTTTAATACTTGTACAACTTTTGGCCCGTAATTTCAATTCCCCATTTCAGCGACCAGAGAGAGGGGGGGATATATCCAGTCTCTGATTGTGTTACGTTATTATGAGAGTGCTCTCATACTTGTTTGAATCTGAAATTGTATATATTTATATAAATATGTGTGTGTGTGTCCGCATCTGTAGCCTGTTATTGTCTCATTATACCGCACTGTGAATGAATCAAAGTAAATATATAAGTCGTCATGAACACATCTGTCCATCAGACAGAGGGCTGCTGTGCCTCCTGTCATCATTAATGGACGTCTCTTTAAAATGACCGCTCAGAGGAGAGGAGTTCTCATTTCTCTAACCGCCTGCTGCTTCCCCTCCTTTCTCCTCGGTTCCCCTCCTCAGTCCTCCGCTCGCATCTCCTGTGGGCGGGACTAAGTATCGAGGAGGGGAGTCGAGGATAGGAGTCGAGGAGGGGAAATTTGAGTATTGAGAAACCTCTACTGTGTGGGATTGGTGGATTCGTGTGTCCGTCAAGGAAATCTCGGCCGGCAGCCATGTTGGTCTGAATGGACAATGGACACAGACTCAAACCTCATCTTATGTCCAAATGCGGGGCAAATGCGCTCCGCAGCCGTTGCGAGGTTCCGGCGCTAACAGTTCATGAGCGTGCCCCCCCTCCCCCTGTCAACACTCGCGACACATGAGGGTTAAAGACCAATGACCAATGATCAATAACCAAAGGGATTGCCTAATCTGAAACAGGTACGGCGTTAGCAAGACTTTGTGTCGATATCATATTCTACCATGTTTAAAGGGTGAAGCCATTCCCTGAAAAATGCTGCAGGCAGTTGGGACAATAATCTATGTATCGTTGCCTTCTGGCATGAGTTCACTTGTGTGAAATATGAGACCTGCATAAATCAGAGTCAGAAATCAGTAGAAGTCTTTAGAATGCCAGGAGTGATTCGAGCAGCTCAAAGAGGGAAGCTCTGCTTGGACTTTTGAAACAGATAAGGAACAAATATCAGCTCCATAACAACACAAACGTTGACTTACATCCTCACCAGCTCTCCGGGTGGATTTCTTCCACCCATTATCGGGGGGGAACTTCTGCCGTTTGGACCCGTCCGGTTCCTTATGTTGACAATAGCTCAAACATGCTGCTTAACCACGTCCTTGAAGGCTCCCATAGCCTGGAAAAGGGAGAGAGCAGGACAAAAACACTTGAATAATGGGATGAGAAAACAACCAGGCCACCGCTCCTCCTCTAGGCGTGACTCAGATGGCCCCTGTGCACATCGGCTGTCTCCACAGGAAGTCAGGACAGATCTGCTGCGCCACTGCACAGCGACCCGACTTAAGAGTGCAACTCATCACTGACACACCCCACATCTTTGAAACACTTCATGTTTTGAATGGTGAAGGCACTTTTATTTGTGTTTCCCTTGATATGTCAGAACATTTCTGTTTTTTTTATCAATTAACAAGAAACTTTAAAAGCAACTGTTGTTCTGCACAGACACACTGATAGTCTGAAAGGCCCGAAAAACACCGGGAAGGCAATAAGTAACTTGCGGTGATGAAGCATTCGAATATTAATAATACAATTAATAAGAATGTACTCAATTTAAGACAAGTTGCTGCATTGACCGTCACAACTAATATGCTGACCAGACTATTTTCTATTTAGCATGAAGCAATATGTTCGATAAGATCAGGCCACACACATATTTGGCAATACAATTAGATTCATAGAAATTGGGAATATTGAAGCCAATAACACACTAAATAGCGTAACTGGCACCAAAGATGACTAGCTATTTTAAATGATAATGTTTGAAGCTCGTAGCGAATCTAAAAACCAACCTGTAGCCATGAAGAGCGATCTGTTTCAGGGGGAAGCTCCAGATACTCCACATCGTCACTCCATTTCCAGCTAGGACGGGCTACTTAAATGAATATCCTGGAAAATATGCAAAACAAAAATCAGGGTTGGATATTTCTCAGATGTCCATTAAATAACATAATTGAACACAAAATGAATAATAATTGAAGATATAATCGACACAGCTAGGTCTTCTGAAATGCAACAATCAGGTTAGGTCGGGTTACTGATGCCACTGCACCAAACACCCCAACTGATCAGTGCAACTCATCACTCTCACCACCACGGACTTATGACATTAGGAGACCCTACAGCAGGGTGGTTTACCTTGTGTTCCCGTTTCATATCGACGGGGAGCATCATCTGGCAGTATAGTGAGGGCTTCATGGTAGTTAGAAGTCAGGCCTGCGTACACAACACACAATGCAAGAAGCTAACGTTAGCCTTAGCCATGTGAACAACACGTGGTCAATCTCGGTCGCACAGTCCGTGTTGAGAAACGTTAATGTAAAAAGGTAAACTGGCCTATGTGACAATGTAAGGGACTGTAGTGGTTGGTTGGTAATACGTATGTTTCTCCAACGTTGCAAACAAACAGTAACACGTTGGTTAAAACAAAAGGCCAAGCCTCACAGTTAGCTAGTTAGCTCTGGTGTGTTTAGCATCCGCTTCCGTTTCCTAAAAACACCCACTGTCCCTACTAAAACAGAACGGCCAAAATCATATCATACAAACTCACCTTCGTTTGTATCCAGGCTCATTTGTTTTATTAGATTTGTTGTGTTTTTTCCTTTGAGTAGCTGATCGTGTATCTGACTTACTAGTGCGCGTGGATTCTAAGCAGCAAGGAAGTACGTTTCTAAAGCTAACCTCTCAGGGCTCAACCCCTGGAACGATAGTGGACGTTTATTGGACAGTTGAACAATGTTTCCGTTTGAACCACCAATGAAAAGTTCTATATCGTTCACACAAGAGTAAAGGGCAAAACCATAGACTGTATGTTCAAACCCTGAATATATTTATTTTTAGTTTAATTGGAGTTGTTCGTAATATAACTTTACAGTAGACTTGGTATGTCTTAAATGTCCGGTTAGGATGTATTAGAACGAAATCTAAAATGAAAATTGTAAATAAGCAATCTGTATGTAAAAAACCACCTGTATGTAAATTGTAAATAAGCCATCTGTATGTCAAATATGTCTTATATGTCTTAAATGATATGATGAATTGTAAATGGGGGACCCTGATGTAAACAAGACGAAAGTCTTTCTCTGGTCTGCATCCCCTTAACAATTGTATGTTTTGAGCTGTACTGTACTGTACCCAATATATAAGCTGTTAATAAACTTTTCAATCAATCAATCAATCACAGCTTTCTTGCAACTTTTATTTTGTCCTCATATTTTCAAATATAAATACACATGTTTACTTTGCCTACTCTTTTGTGAGCCTGACTGTTCTGTTTAAAGATGAATGGATTGCCTTTTGTAAAATACATACATACAATGTACATACACATAGCCTATAACATGTTTATATCCTGCATATGCCATTCAAGCATCTGAATGCAAGATGCCAAGTATAAGTTACTGAGGTTATCTGGTGCTTGGCGCATTTTGTTCACCTGTTTATCAGTTAAAAGCCATATAAAGCTGAGTGTGCAGGCTATATAAATAAACATTGATTGATTGATCATTAAAACATGTTTGTTTGTATGGTACATTGTATGTTGCTTGCAATAAAATACTAGCATCTTTTAGCACCTCGTCTCTTCTGCAAGGACGTGAGTGGTTTATTTGTTTTCTGTCATTGGGTTCTTGTCTGGCCTTTCACATAGTAGTTTGTGCTTCAGGTACAAACTGCTTTTTGGTGGGACCTTGAAGTTACTTAAACATCTTTACTGGTCCCCTGAACAGCTGGCCATCGCAGCAGCTCCCTCACCAAGCCACTCTAGGGAGCCTGCTGGTGCCCATCTTTTCTCCTCTTTGTTATGTCTGTGACTATCTACAGAAGCAGACATCAGCCTTTTCTTTATTGCTTCATGAGGGTTGTGTCTGATGAGGAATAAGTACATAGATGGGCGAGCCAAAGGTTTCATTGAAATGCAAATGCAATTTTATATTAAAAGATAGCAAAGGGACCATTCACTATATCACACAACACAGCTTGTTAGTACTGCCATGGAAATACATATACAGTCTTTTCATATTTACACATCAAGTGACAACCAAACAGAAATCATAAATACCTCTTTTTGTTAACTTTACAACAGCTATACGCAACCAGTATTTCAGAAGATAAAAGAGCACTATTAAATAACTGGCATCTTCCCTATCATTTACAAGGCTTGGAAACACAGTGGTTAAAATAATCCAGCGAAACAAAAAAAAATGTTCTTCTCCAGTGAGTAAAATTAATACAAGTCTAAAAACGATCATGAAATCCCTTTGTACAAAAGACTATACAACTTAATCAACACAATATCTTCAACAGAAATGTTTGCTTATATCCGCATGATAAAATCTGTACAGTTTTAGCATTCCTGCAGCAGAGTTGGAGGGACTGTGAGCCGGGTGATTGGTTACTAGGTCGCTGTGATGCTCTGTAGGCCTCGCTTCAACCAACCGTCAGAGATCGTAGTTATGTAGCTGCCAAGACCCTCTCTCATTGGCCTCAGTGCTCGTCTAGCAGCAAATCAGCAGGTTGCTGAGCTTGTAGCAGATACTTCAAAATACATGGTTCTATAAACTAACCGATATATTTGTCAATATAGTATTTCCTTGTACCATAACTCAACAACAGACAGAATGGTACTCTAAAGTTAAAGCAATGCATAATATATTGTATTAAATTCATTTTTCAGTAAGTTGTCAGTGATACATTTCTAAACTATAACCCTCACTGTCTGATGGGGTCAGACATGCACAGTGTTCCTAAGTTACATACATGTATGTGTTATACTGTACTGTGGCAGACATTGCAAGTACACCTCTGCATTACAGCTCTAGAGTTGTTGAAGCAAAACTGAAGTTATTAAAACAATAAATGTTCTCTAGCGATTGGCCATGCAGATACTTTTGGTTGTGTGAGCCAGGTTTATTTTGTTTTAATTTCCACATATTTAATCTCCCCTTACCCCAAAAAAGAGAGAGCCAATAGAATGTGTGTGATTATGTTCCAGAAGTAAGAAAACTCAATTTGAAAAAGTTACATTTATGTGTACTGATGCACATTTCTTAAAATCTAAACATACAACATCATCTTTCTCAACAGAGAAGATGATGTTCAGTTTATATTTACATTATTTTAAAAGGGATTTAAACATTATAAAGTAATGTTTTGTAATAGACTTTCAAAATAAACCGAATTTCATACAAGCCCTAGGCCGTTTTCAGGTAAAAAAGGAAGGTATTAAAATCGACAAGGAGTGCAGAATGGCACATACATTCTTATTTAGGAAGCTTATATTACAATGAATAGGTTGGTAAAATGACATATGTTGATAATATGGGATTGAGAAGGGAACATTAACGATGACACACACACACATTTAAGGGAGATATGTTTCTATTTAGCGATAGTAATGTGTTGTTATTAAAGAGCTTCAAATTCTAAGAGTAAGTGCTGTTGTAGATAATCCTTTATATCTTTTTTTTACCAGGAACGTGTCCCAAATTGTCATAAAAAGACCAATTCAATTAACAGCTGATGAGGATTGCGAAAGTAGTTAAAAAAAACTAGTGGTAAATAAAACCACAACTATCTGCATGGCTAAAGAACACTAGTTGTGAGGAAAGGTTTTTGTCATTGGGACCGAAGAAGTAAAAAAGTATGTCACAAACCTGTGAGAAAAAATATGTTACAGCTTAAAGGGGAATAAGAACGAAATGTTTGGCACTTAGGCTGTTACTTCATCTTGGCTTCCTCTGCTATGCCCGAGGATCAGCAATATTTGAATTATAATTAAAAAGAAAGAAATAAAAGGCTGTTTTCAGGCTAATTAAGCTAATGTTGAATGGACTTCTGCAGCCAGCTGAAAGAACCAGCTTCAAAACATCCTTACTCGACCTGTTGGAGGCTGTACAATAAGGAATCAACACTGAGGGCCAGTCGGTAAAGTCAAAGGAGAGAAATATCCTGTCATTAAGATTCCTATTGAAGTGTAAATGCTGAAAGAAGCATGGAGACTCTGTAAAGCCCCACCCTTTGGCACTGACATAAATACAACTCTTGAATACCCGGGTTCTAACAAAAACACTCTGGGCATCTTCTGAAAGTCAGCAAACCAACTCCACAAGTACAAAAACGTTCATAAATAGAGTTCATAAAGACATGAGTGGCATTAGAGAGAGCATCGCGGTTACGTCGTCCAGGGAGTATGTTGTTCTAGCTTTATCCCGAAAAATAAAAAGTTCACAAAAATAAAAAATTGTACACAGAGAAGCGTTTGTCGCATTGAGAGTCTGCATCCTTAAAAAAGGCTCCAGAGTACGCTTGTGTCTCTCTGTTCACGTCCTCCTCAGTTGCTTTTTCCAGCATGCTCATTAGTTTATCATTTCGCCTGAAGGCAGTAGCACTCAGGGTAGGGCACTGTACTGCACGTGTGTGTGTGTGTGTGTGTGTGTGTGTGTGTGAGAGAGTACAAGTAGGACGGAGCCCCAGATACAGAGACAGGAGTTGTTGTTTTTCGGGAGCTTAGTTGTGTGTAACCAGTTCATTTGTACCTTAACTCTACGTATGCTACTGTTACTGTGTTTGTACCTATTTATCTGTGTACCAGCTATAAATACAGGTGTGTGTATGAGTGTGTTAGGAAATGGAGGTTGAGATGAAGCACAGAGGGCTCCTCACACTTCGCTCTCGGTGGAGGGCTTGCGTGTGGAGACCCAGCCGGTGTCGGGCAGGCTGTGCTGGGAGTGGCGCTGCGGGGTGATGGCTGAAGGGGTCAGGGTGGTTATGGAGGAGCATTCGGACGCTTCCTCCTGGAGGAGCTGCTCCGTTTCGCCGTCGTCTAGCGAGGCGCTGCTGGCCTGCAGGGACACGGTGTCGGTGCGCATGCAGGTGTGCAGGCCGCCTCGGGACGGCTTGATCTGTTTAAGGTCGTCCCAGTAAAGCTCCTCATTGGACAGGAGACACACGCCCTCCACTATGCGGATCTTCTCCTTGGTGTAGCCTCCGTCCACTCCCCCCTGGAAAACGAGAACAGAGTAGTTAGTTCGAGGGATGGCCTCCTTATGAGCAGGTTAAAGCTCATGGTACTATTTGTTCAACTTAACACTTTCTAAGAGTTAATTGATCAAGCTACCATGATGTGGCTCTGCTTTATTTCTTTGTTACATGCATTTCTTCTTTTTCTCTCTTGTTCTGTCTTCCTTAAGACTAGCCCTTCCTTCTTTTTTTAAACACGCCACTAGGGGTCACCCTTAACATAAAAAAAGACAGTTTGGTGGTCATGCACTTATAAGGAATCATCAATTAAATACCAGTTTTCCCTAGGTTTGAACCATTTGGTTTAACGTAAGTATACAACTCAACAACATATATAAAATACAGTAGATATAGTAATTTTAAAACATATCAATGCAAAACTGTTATTAATTATACTGTCACATTTAAAAAAAAAGTGTATTAGTGTTACACAAACATCACCAAAACTTCAGAAAGTTGAACCTGTCAAAAGAATGGTTTCCTTTGAGGGTTTTGCACAGCACAGCACTCCAGAACAACATGTCACCTTCAAACACAACCCATGCACATCATGTCGGCTCCTCTGATGCTGTGCCTTCTTCTGTGGTTTCTTATTTTCTGATTGTGCTACAAGTCCATCATTTTAATAAAGAAAAACACCACGATTTCAATCTGTGGAAACTCGAGTGGAATCTAATGTATTGTTGATAGCATGAAAAACAGGGACATTTTCCAGAACAAATGGACAAATGATCCAGTCTGTTGTTATAATAGTTAGAACAGTGTCTGTTCATATCCACCTAATTTTCGTTTTTTGACAGCTGGTGCAATAGGTTGCAATAAATAGAGACTTAGAAATGGATTTGGCCTTATACAATATATCTAAGCTTTTAATGATGAATCAAACAAAAGGCGGCCATCCCTTCATTGTTTTTTCTTGATTCCTTGCCTGTTGAAATGTCAGTTTTCAAATGTAGGTTAACCACTGACTTAATGTTAATTTCAGACAGCAGGTCCCATGCAGTTGAAAGAGAGACAAAGTGAAGGAAAACAAAGAAGCAAAAAGAGGACACCACTCCGTCATGCTGTGTAACTACCTCTCCACAGGGCAAGTGGGTCAAAAGATAAAGGGGGAGAGGGAGTTGTAGGGATGAGAGAGCTGCAGTGAGGAGAGAAGGGGGGGAGAAAAGATGAGCGCTGGTGTCTGTAACCTACTTACTGTAACATCACGTTACAATATTACAACTCGGTTCATCAGACAAACAGTGAGATCATTTGTCTCCATTGTTACCCACCGTACACCTCCATAGTCTGATCATTCTATGGAATTATCATGGATTCACCTGAAATCCATTCAGATATTAAATAAAATAAGTTTAGTGTTGTTTTTCCTGTCCGTTACCTCTTTCTTATATCGCAGCTGGTTGTATATCGGAGGCTTTTGCGACGCCTCAATCTTGACCTCTTGTGTCGATGTACGATACGAGGGGTTACTGTAGGTCAAGTTGCTCACTCCCGGGTCGGCAAACTTCGACTTTTTATGTCTGTCAGTCAAAAATGGAGAGAACATAGTACATAGCTTAATACATTAAACTATCCACTGTGTGTAATTTGTATGATTGTGTTATTAAACCCTGTGTTTCAATCCAGGAAGTAAGATAGTTCAGAAGTGTCAAGTGGGGTACTGACCTGTAAATAATCAAAGCAGCGATGAGGATCAAAATAGCCAGGATGGTCAGAACTCCACCAATCACATAGCTGATATGAAGTCCTTCTCCTGAAATATATATGGCACAGGTGTTAACAGAGCAAAATACAGTGCTTTACTCTCTTACCCAATTTCAGTTTCACTTCACGGTGTTTAAATGTTTTGGGGTGTATGGTAGCACTCGTAAAAGGTCCTATATTTACAGCCTTTCAATGTTTATGTTTATTAGAAACCTGAGATCTCTCTGAGTGTCTCTCCTACAAACTCAACATCATTCTCTAACTTTATGTGAATGCAGAGTTGAAAAAACGGTGTGTAGCACTGTCAGTGCTAGAGGAAAGTGCTATTCACATTTAATTTGCATTTGATGATGGACTTTAGCATCCTTATTTGTTAAGCAAGTCAAGTATAACGGTTTTTCAGTGATATTTCCCAATTGGTTATTACTTACTTACTCCCACACAAAGTAGCTTTGGCATTAGCAAAGCTACATTTGAAGCAGTGGGAAAGTGTTCAAAGATGAAAAACGTCCCCTCTAAGACCAAAGCTGTTATCATGTTTACTTGCAAGTTAATAACTAACAACTACATCCAACTTTGTTTGAAAACTATCTAGAGCAGGCTAGCAGTATCCTTCTGCTTCCAATAGTCTGGCTTAGCTCTCTGTACTACTGACACACATGGATACAATACAAACATTGTTCTTTAGAGTGGTAGAATGATAAATATCAGATTGTCACATTAAGACAACATGCATTGTGTAAAGTGATGAAGGGAGAACTTTGTTGTGTACTGACCGTGAGGAGCCGTCACCACGCTGTTCACACACCCCTCTACGTTTAGGTTCTTGTCAGTGCAGCTGTAAAAATGAGACAGAATCCCAGATTGAAAAGGGTACTTTACATAATATTAGCTTTAATGACTTCACAAAACATGATGTTGTTTTTCCTGTAGAGGACTCTGTAGGGTTTTAGCAATAGTCTGTAAGCTTCTGTAGTTAATGATTTAATGATTCTATTAGAGATGAACAATCACATTATACTTCTCTATGACATGAGACATTTCTCAGATATTTATAAAAAGGCTTGAGAGCACTCAATATGTTGTTCTTTGAGCAAGACAAACATGACGCTGACCCAATATTTTATTTATAAGCTAAATGTACGCTACAGGGGGTAGGACCATAAACGTTTAAGCTTCTTCTTGCCCCTGTTGAACATGACAGAGACTATTTGAGAATTCCTTTTTTTTTCTTTTTACAATTACAATGTTATAATTGTAAGTAAAACAAAATATATATACATTATTATTATTGTTGTATGTTTTGTTTCTGACATGTTCAATAAATTGTCAAAAAAATAAAAAATAGACACAAGGGTCATACATGGGTTTTTAAAGCAGTTGTGTAGAAGAACACGTTTACTACTGTGGTTCTTGTGTGATAATTTGATGGTTCTCTCTTTAACTAGATATTAATAACATTTCTGCTAATGCATTTTGTAACAACTAAATTAAGTAATTACTCTAAAAGGAAGCTTTGCCATTAGAAATTCATTCATAGAGACGAACAGACGTACTTGACCGCTGAGGCTCCTCCATGTGGAACGTCGGTTGTAGATTTGGAGATCTTGTTGGGGACAGGAGTGCTGCTGGTTCCTCTGGCCGGAGCGGTGGGGACGTAACCTGAAACTGATGAAAACATGCACATTAGAACCGGAGTGAGATAGCTGTTTTTTGGTTGTCTTTAATTATTATTTCTACAAGGTTTAGGCATTGCGTGAAATTGTATTTGAGCTGTGTATCTGTGTGTTTGTCTTATTTCATATCATATTTTTTGGTAAAACATATTTAATTAGTTTTTTATAATTTGGAATTGAAAAACGCACGACAATCGTTCTTCTCTGACATCATTACCAAAAACAAAAACAACGCACGTGCCTTGTTTGCTACCGTCGACAGACTAACTAACCCCCCAGTGTCAGTAGCCTCTGAATTTCTATCCACCAGGGCGTGCAATGATTTTGCCTCCTTCTTCACTGACAACATTCAGAAAATCAGACAAGCAGTCAGTGCCTCTGCATCAGGAACAGCAAATGTGTTGTCTCTGTGTCCACTTAACATCAATTCAAACACCATGACACAATTCCATCAGATTAATGATAAAAACCTAGAGGACATTATACAACTTCTGAAATCCTCCTCTTGCTGCCTTGATATTATTCCAACAGGATTTTTCAAAGATGTTTTGCCTTGCATGGCCTCAGATCTACTTCATATAGTAAACAAATCTCTTCACTCAGGTGTTTTTCCACAGGCCCTGAAAACTGCAGTCATTAAACCGCTCTTAAAAAAGAATAATCTAGATGCTTCAGTAATGAACAATTACAGGCCCATATCAAACCTCCCATTTCTAGGTAAAATCATTGAAAAAGTTGTTTTTCAACAGTTGAGTAATTTCTTGCATTTAAATAACTGTTTTGATGTGTTCCAGTCAGGCTTTCGTCCAAACCACAGCACTGAGACTGCTCTTGTAAAGGTCTTTAATGACATCCACTTAAACACAGACAGTGGCAGAACTTCAGTGTTAGTATTATTAGATCTCAGTGCTGCGTTTGACACTGTTGACCACAGCATATTACTAGACCGACTAGAAAACTGGGTGGGACTTTCGGAAACAGTTCTGAATTGGTTTGAATCCTACTTAAAGGACAGAAACAACTTTGTTTCTATAGGTAAATACACATCTGAGTTGAAAAATATGACATGTGGGGTTCCTCAAGGCTCCATCTTGGGGCCTCTTCTCTTTAACATCTACATGCTACCACTGGCTCAGATAATGAAGAACAACAAAATAAGTTACCATAGCTATGCAGATGACACACAAATTTACGTAACAATTTCACCAGGAGACTATGCTCCAATTCAAACACTGAGTAAGTGCATTGAACAAATCAATGACTGGATGTGTCAGAACTTTCTCCAATTAAACAAAGATAAAACTGAGGTAATGGTTTTTGGAGCCACGTCAGAACGTATAAAAGTTAGCGCTGAGCTTCAGTGTGCAATGTTCAAAACAACAGATAAAGCCAGAAATCTAGGTGTAGTCATGGACTCTGACCTGAATTTCAACAGTCACATTAAAACTGTTACTAAATCAGCCTACTATCACCTAAAGAATATATCTAGGATTAAAAGACTAATGTCACAGCAGGATTTGGAAAAACTTGTCCATGCTTTTATCTTCAGTAGACTGGACTACTGCAATGGTGTCTTCACAGGTCTCACTAAAAAATCTATTAGGAAGCTGCAGCTAATTCAGAACGCTGCTGCTCGAGTCCTCACTAACACTAAGAAAGTGGATCACATTACTCCTGTTCTGAAGTCTTTACACTGGCTTCCTGTGTGTCAAAGAATAGATTTCAAAATACTGCTGCTGGTTTATAAAGCACTGAATGGTTTAGGCCCAAAATACATTTCTGACCTCCTGCTAAATTATGAACCATCCAGATCTCTCAGGTCTTCAGGGACTGGTCAGCCTTCTGTCCCCAGAGTCAGAACTAAACATGGTAAAGCAGCGTTCAGTTATTATGCTCCAAATATCTGGAACAAACTCCCAGAAACCTGCAGGTCCGCTACAACTCTGACTACTTTTAAATCCAGGCTGAAGACTTTTCTTTTTGTCGCTAATTTTAATTGAACTATTCATATCTTAGACTGCACTGTAACTTTTATCCATGTATTTTTTCTTTTAATGTTGATTTTATTAGCTTTTCTTTTTAATGACTGATTTTAAATGCCATTTTCTTAATCTCTTTCATTTTTTGTAAAGCACTTTGAATTGCCTTGTGTTGAAAAGTGCTATATAAATAAACTTGCCTTGCCTTAAACCTTGTTCGATATCTGAGTTCCCATAGGCAAGGCAAGGTAAGGAAAGGCAAGTTTATTTATATAGCACCTTTCATATAAAGGTCTGCCTAGACATTGCATGCAAACACGCTGGCACGGTCAAACAAAAGTCAAACATCATTAGGAACAGTAACAGGGAACAGTGGTCACTCACTGGTGGAGCAGGGTCGCCCGTCTGGCTCATCGGGGCAGGCGCACACAAAACTGTTGGTCTTGGCGAAGCAGAGGTGAGTGCAGCCGCCATTATTTACTCCACAGAGATTAGTACCTAAATGAGAAGAAAGGGAACATTCAAACAGTGTGTCTGAGTCTGGTATATCTGAAATTAGGGAGGGTTTTTCCGCCGTGATAAGATCTGAATTCAGCTTCCTTTACCTAACAGCACTTAGACTCTGAAAAAAAAGGTCCCAGCATTTAAATAAAATTCAAAATAATAATAGTGGCTACCTCTTGTGAAATATTTCTTCCATTTCTCAAAATACTTTTTAAAAAGCTCAATAAAGTCAGAGTCATCTTCAACATTCCTGCAGCAAATATCGTGCCAGACGAAAAGTTACTAAACAAGCTTCAAATCGACAGGCTACTACTGAATCAATGTGACTATAATTCAAAGTGTTTTTACAGGGAGGCACATTTGATGGGGTTCATTTCAGTTCTGATTATGCTTAAACTGTAAGAGAAATTTCTACTGATTAAATACAACATATATTTTTGAGACTGTACTCTGTGGTGTTGTTGTGAACATTTTTGTAATATTTCAGATCAAATTACTGTAATTGAGTTAAATGTTTGTATTTGTTTTCTTATGGCATGGCGTTATTTTCCTCTTATGTGTCCAGTATGTTGTCTGTTTCCACCCTGGTTCACTAGCATGCATTGGGAAAAGAGTATATTGCAAGGGAGTTTGCCTGCATTTAAAAACCTTCATAAATGTGTAATTTTAGTGTGAAAGGGTATAACTGATGAAACTTGCAACCCACTCTACACCTTTATTCATTTCCTGTTTTATTTAAAGCTCTAATTCTTAAATCAGTCTCTGCTGCTTCAGCACTTTACCAGCGACACACTCCCCTGTCCTCACAGATGAACTAAGTGAAGTCTCTGGTGTCTCCTGTAACATCTGGAGTTGTACCCTTACCTGTCTGTCTGTGAGGTGATACCACTATAATGTCCATGAGGCCCTCCACGTTGTTCAGCACAGTTTCCTTGTTGCGGCCCGTGTGTTTGTCCACCCGCTGGATGGACTTAGTCTGCCAATCCGTCCAGTAGATCCAGCGGTCTTGCTGCGAGAGTCGGGAGAAAGGAGTTAGAGGGGAGGACACCGGCTTCAACTGGGGAAACGAGGGAGAAGAAGAGAGGAGAGAAAAAACACAGACAAGGAGAAGGGGAATGGGAGGAAGAAAGGGAAGGGGAAGAGGGAGGGAGGAAGAAAAATGAGGGTCAGAGTGGAAGAAGAGAAATGGTTAAGTCGAATGGGTTCAGCATGAGTTGAAGGACGCAGAGACGGAGTCACACGGTGAGCCGATGAGTGAAAGAGAGCAGGTGAGTGGAGGAGGCAGCCAGGAGGAAGGGTCACCCAGTGATTGACAGCTGAGGGTGAGGAGGGGAGGGGGTACCTGCGTGAGGGCAAACGGGTGGGACACCGGGCTGACGAGGATCTGCCGCAGCTTCCCGTTCAGGTCCGAACTCTCGATCCTGTCCAAGTGGGCGTCCACCCAGAAGATCCTGCAGAAAACACCACAGGTTCATAAACACACTTCTGTCTGTATGAGCCTTCTGACTGCACTGGAGAAAAAAACACCTATTTCTTTCATCACTTTCTAAATCAAAAGATGTATCAATTAATAGGGTTACAACTGAAATACAAATAACTAAAATATGATTTAATATGTCAGAAAAAGTTCAAAATTGATATCGTTGGTTAACAAAGTCAAGGGTATGTCTTTAAATGTCTTGTTTATTAATTCAAACACCCAATTGTTTAATTCATTTACAAACAGAAAACCATGAAATCTTCATCTCTAAAAAGTGTAAATTTCTGCATTAAAATGGACTTTACTGATAGTCAATATAATATATTTAATTTAAAATAATATTTTTTTTTGTTGTTGATTGACTTGGCATTGGAGATCTATCATTTAGCTCTAAATAATCCAAATTGGCTAAACTTCTAGCACTCAACCCTCTGTATCGTATATTTAGTTGTTCTACATTAACTGGCCGTTAAACAAATCTTCATAAGTCTCTCCTTGACTTGTAGATATTATTTTCAGATATGGTGAAGATCATCATTTTTTCAAAATATCTAATCTGATTTAATTGACAAGGTTACTATGTAGCCCCTTTCACAAACAGGCTTTCTCTCTCTCTCTCTCTCTGACCTTCGTGTGTCGTAGTCCAGTGTGAGTCCGTTGGGCCAGCCGAGGTCAGTGTTGATCAGAACCTTTCTGTCAGAGCCGTCCAGGTGGGATCGCTCAATCTTTGCAATGTGACCCCAGTCAGTCCAGAAGAGGTACCTGCAGAAACCAGGAGAACTGGTGAGGAGACCTTCTACTGCACAACGTTGAAAGAAAAATATTGGCAACCATGTGACACTTCCAAACTAAAAGATAATGTATGACTTCTTTCTGCTAAAATTACACTTTTTCGATTGGTAGTTCCAGCATAGTTCATAATCTGTCTCTTGGTCATCTTTTAACAGCTCCAAAATGCTTAAAGGTCCCATTTCTACTGATCATAATTCCATTGTTGAGGTATACTAAAATAGATTTATACTGTGCAATTTTCCAAACTCACATTGGTTTCTCATACAGCATCTCTGTAAAGTATGTGTATTCACCGGTATTCACTCTCTGTCCTAAACGGCTTGTTCGAGCTCCTGCCCCCCCCCCCCCTGTGAGCCCAGTGTGCTCTGATTGGTTGAGAAGCACACACACAGACACACAGACACACAGACACACACACACACACACACACACACACACACACACACACACACACACACACACACACACACACACACACACACACACACACACACACACACACACACACACACACACACACACACACACACACACACACACACACACACACACACACACACACACACACACACACACTGCTGCGGGCTAGAACAAGCGAAACTCATACTGAGCACACACAAGCACTCACAGCCGAAGTAAAAACAATAAGTGTGGCTTGATATTGAGAAAAAGGTTTATAACGCTGTGAGAATGGGTCTGCGGAGAGCATTTCTCCACGATCCCAACGTAGTCCGAAAAACGTTTACCCATTTAAACAGTCGTGGTAGATACCTTGTTTGTTTTAAACATCATAAATACACAAACAACAATGAATACTTACAGGTTGTGTACCCGAATCTCCCGCTGGTCCAAACAAAGCAGGAGTAGTGTGAGTGTGTGTGTGTGTGTGTGTGTGTTGCATGTAGCAGCCGCATGTGTGCAAACTGCCCCACCCCCTCGCACACAGAGAGCGATATCTCTCGTCTCGATTGGAAAGATGGAAAATACTAAACATAATCATAGATGCAAACGCTGAAAGGTTTTGGGAAGCTTTGTTTCATGAAAGGCTGGCAGAGGGTGCGGCCATAGCTACTGGGTATCCCCACGTCAGAGTACCCAGGAAGTAAATGAGAAATCTCCAACGAGGCGTTTTGGGGAGGTATTTTCTGTGTTAGAGTTGTACTCGCTACAGGGTGTACTTTGAGGGTTTTCGACTCTGCAGACCGTTTACATGCAGAAAACCTTCATAACACACAAGGGGACGGGTAATAACCGGAAAAGCATGACATGGGACCTTTAAGAAATATACTTTAATAGTTTCAAAACCCAAACCAAATTTTCATGAGAGCCCAGTCCCCTGTCTTACCCTTTGCTCGGGAACACTGCGATGGCTCGCGGTTCATCCAAACTGTTGTTGACCAGGACTTTGCGGCTTGTTCCGTCCAGGTGGGCCACTTCGATGGTGTTGCGCCCGGTGTCGGTCCAGTACATGTTCCTGGACACCCAGTCTACAGCCAGCCCATCCGTGGTCTTCAGACCCTGGCTGATAACCGTCTCCATGCCGGTGCCGTCTAAGTTTGCACGCCTAAAGGTCAAAGTTAAGGGAGGGCATATATGATATTTAGTAAGAGTCTGTATGGCTATAACGGCTGCTGTTTCCTGTTGGAAGGGACTGTCCCCTTTAACAAGTGGGCTTTCAATCTCTCTGTCCTAGGCACATCAACAACAAAAACACAATCGCACTCGAGAATATCCTTAAATTGATAGCAATATAGTTCACATGTTGTTTTGATCGCACCTTATAACATCCAGGGTGACATCGGTGTAGTAAAGTTTTGCGTCCACGCTGTCGTAATCCAGTGAGATGACGTTGTGCAGCTCGGGCACCGGCACGTGCACGTCGGTGTGGTCGTTGGTGTCGAGGGAGATCCTGCGCACACTGACACGGTTGGAGAAAAGCAGGTAGGACTCCGGGGAGTCCTCACACGACTTGCTGTCACCTTTGAGCAGGATTCCAGTGGGACAGGCGCAGGACGTCCCGTTGGGGCGAGACAGGCACAGGTGGGTGCAGCCTCCGTTCTTCCTGCCACACTTATTAAAACCTGCAAACAGACACAAGTGCACTTAAAATAATTGGAAAGACGCCTTGCCAGACAAATAGCTGTGTGCACTCAAAGCTGATTTTAGTTTATGTTTGAGTGTTTCCAGGCAACATATAATCACTTGTCAATCACTTGGCGAGCTACACATTCTACAACAGGAGTCATATTCAGGATAATCATGCAAGGCTACCAACAGAATTGTCACCAAGGAAAATATAAAATGTAGAAAGTCATTTGATGAGCTACGATTAAAGTCATGAGGTATTGACTAGGTCCTAGGAGATAAAGATAGAAGTATGTGCAAATCAGCAGAATAAACAGATGAAAACTCAGGCAGCAGGGCTATTTCAACTGTACCAGTAACACAGCACACTAAAAACCTTGTTTAAGTTCAACTGAACTATAAACAAATTGCTGTTTAGTCTATATTCCATTTTTTTCGTACAGCATCTCGTGTATGTTCCTCAGACTCACCCAGAGGCCTCTCCCTGTCCACAGCCTGGATGTCCATCAGGCCCGGCAGGTTGGCCTGCACGGTGATGGTGTTGGTCCCTGTGTTCTTGTCAGCTCTCTGGATGCTGCGGCTCTGCCAGTCGGTCCAGTAGATGTGAGAGCCCAGCAGGGTCAAACCGTATGGGTGCTGGACCGGGGTGATCAGGGTGTGGCGGTTCTGCCCGTTCAGGTCGGCTGCCTCGATGCGCTGCAGAGGACCAGAGAGAGGAGAGGGTTACCACCATGACTCCATAACGGCTGGTGCCTTTTGCCTTAATGCACTGAAATTAAGCCAATTAGCATTTCATTTTTTAGTCATCTTTAAGTATGATGTGAGTGTCATTTTTGGTCCTCTTTAAGAATTTAATAGCTATTTCTTCAGTTGACTAAAACGTTTTCCTACAGCATGCGTGACTGTTTTTTTCCAGTTAAATAGTGCTTAATATGTTTTAAAGGTCCCCTATTATACTGTTTTTCATCAATATATTATAGGTCTCAGATATATACAAACTATGTCTCTGAAGTGTTTGACTCCAAATACCAAACAGATCATTGTAGCATCCCATAATCCCCTCTGTTTCAGCCCTGTTTCAAAAGTGCTGATTCTCTGTCTGTTACTTTAGATGAAAGTGAAACGCCCCTCTGAGAGATATTTGGTTACAAAGAACACAATGGTGCTCTAGGAGGAGATTCAGGTGATAAGGGGGGGGGGGGGGGTTACCTTGGTTGGTGATTGGCTAATGGTTACACAAGCCAACAAATCGTAATCGTTTTTAAATGTGCTCTACAAATAAAACTTGATTTGATTTGATTTGATCATAAAGTGGCCAAAATCTGATGAGCTCATTTTCAGACAGGTTTTTATATGAATGGATCAGGAGAAAAAGAGAGCACATTTTTTTTCCTGAAACTTTCAGAATCTCTTTAGGGGACACATGTTGATGTATACAATTCATGAAAAATTGGATTTTTCATAATAGGTGACCTTTAAACAAAAACTATTTTTTTAAGTTCCTTCGATCAGAGTGACTGGCAACCAGTGTGTTTAGTTAAAGTAGCTCCATCAACATAGAAAACACATAGACAAAGGCTTTTCATCTTGTAACAATATATGTTTTAAGAGCTGATAATCAATGTGAGGGGTCGTTAGGGTCACAGCTGCTGACCTCAGTGTGAGCGTCGGCCCACAGAAGCTGGGAGCCGGCCGTGTCGATGGCCAGGCCGTTGGGCCAGCCCAGGTTGTTGCTGATGAGGACAGTGCGGTCGGAACCATCCATCCCAGAGCGCTCCAGCTTAGCATGCTCTCCCCAGTCTGTCCAGTACATATACCTGTCAGAGAGAGAGAGAGAGTGAATAAAGATGGAGAACACCATTTAATGTTAAGTAAGTTCACATACTGTATTAGAAATTCTTCTTGGTGTCAGATGGATACAATAAACATAATAAAAGCTAGGGATGCACCGAATATTCGGCCACCGAAAATTATCGGCCGAAAATGGTTAAAAAGGCCCTTTCGGCTTTCGGCCGAAAGGGTTTTAGCACCGAAAAAATATCACCGAATGTCAGAACAGGCTTACGTTGGTAACCTAACGTGTTGTTGTGATGACGTAATAAAGACGCGGCGACCATGCTCGCGGCTGGCTCACAGGGGGGGGGGGGACATTGACCTTTGTCATCGAGATTGCCCTGAGCCTTTAACAAATCGTATTAAATAATCTGATGACAGACTATAAACAGAATAGCTGAAATTTTAACAAACTAAATAACTCGGTTACCTCTAATCATTAACCCATGTTTGTATCATGTAGTTAACTCCGTGTGTTGCTGCTAGCATACATAACACCTGACGTGGAAACGTTACTCCTGGATGGGGGCTACAGAGCTGCTAGAAAGACGGTCGAACCCGGTACATTCCTCCGTCTGCATGCGGTGCACTTTTGCTAAATGTTTAGACAAATTGCTCGTGCTTACATGCTAAACTCTTATTGCACTTATGGTAACAAGTATTCTCCACATCGAGACGGGTAAAGTTTAACCACACCTCGGAGCGCGTTCTCTCCGCCATCTCCGCAGTGTGCTCCGCTGCATGTAGCAGCTGCGTGTGTGTAAACTGCCCCGCCCCCTCGCACACAGACGGGGGAGAGAGATCTCGTCTGATCGAAAATACATCATAGACGCATTTGTTGTCTTTGCATATTAGAAACGAGTTGGCGACACTAAGACTGCGATATAATGTTTTTTAGCAATAATACATGACATATATAAATGTACTGTATGCATTCAAAAGTGCTGAATAAATGTTTTATGGACCCATAATAGTGATTATTATTTAAGTTAAGTTTTGCCATAATCATGTCTATTTCCATAATCAGGTAGCTGAACAACATTGGTAAAAAATGTATACATTATATATATATATTTCTTAATCATTTTCGGCCTTTCGGCATTCGGTTTTCGGCCAACTGTTTCCTATTTTCGGTATCGGTTTCGGCCAAGAATTTCCCATTCGGTGCACCCCTAATAAAAGCAAGTAATGTACTTCACTTGAGGTACTCTACTTTAGCATTTGTTTAATGATAATTTATAATTCTAATTCACTACATTTCAGAGGTAAATATTGAATTTCTTAGTACATCTGTCTACAACTTTAGTTACTTTAGTTGTGTATCTCCTTTCTTTTCAGTGAAAACGAGGTATCTCCAGATGTGTTGATTTAGGGTGTAAACTGGATGATAAAGTGTTCCCTTAGGTAGTAATAAATTGCTCCTTCATCTCAAGATAAATAAACAATTTGAAAACCTCTTGAATCTGCTGAAAAATGCATTGTTGTTTCAAAAAGTGCTGTTTTATTGAGCCAATTAATAAGATGACTTTTTAGCGTAATATGGTTCTCACAGGACAGCAAGGGTTTAAGTTATATCCATATCTTTTAGACATGATGAATTGCAGTAGATACAACTACCCATCTGAATACAAAGAAGTTAAAAATAAGAACTCATTAACAGCAGTAAAAGGCAACATTCACACCAATGAAGCAGTACTATTAATCTAAAAACAGCACATATAGTAGTAAAACTGACAGAAAGTATTTTACTGCCTGACTACTTTACATTTTCATACTTAGATTCTGCCGATAATCGTTTCATACTTTTACTAAGGTCATGTTTTGAATGCCAGACTTTTAACTGTTTTCACAGTGCGGTATAAGAACTTGGATGAAAATTCAGGACTGTTATCAGAGATTTCCCCCAATTCTCCTCATCACGCTCAATCATCCTCACCCCATCTCATTGTAGAGGGCGATGGCTCGAGGGCTGTCCAGGTTTTCCCAGACGAGAACTTTCCTCATGGAGCCATCCAGGTTGGCGACCTCGATGCGGTTAGTTCCTGTGTCTGTCCAGTAGATCTTCCTCCCAACAGCATCCACCGCCAGGCCATCGGTGGTCACCAAGCCTACGTAAAGAGAGACACAGAGAGAGGAGTTAGAGTCGTCATAGGGCGGAGTTAAACCCCCTCGTACATGTAAGCCAACCCCCTCACCTGTGGATACGATGTCCTCTTGTGATTTTCCGTTGATGTAGGATCTGCTGATTTTCTTCAGTGTGCTGTCAGACCAATACACTTTTCCTGCAGGAGGCGCCACACACACACATGTAAGAATTTCCATTTCTATATCCCTTGCTTTTCGTTTAAAGGGGACTTATCATGCAAAATGCACTTTTTGATGTCTTTTATACATAAATGTGTCCCCGGTGTGTCAGGGAACTCACGCAGCATCAGAAAATAAAACCCTCTCTCTTTTCCTCCGTGCGCAAATCTCTAAAAACGGGGGTACAACAGAGCTGATCCAGATTTTCCATCCGATATGACGTAAATTACGTCATATATCGGATGGTGGACCCACGGCACTATCAGAAACGTTGCTGTATCAGAAACAATTCCCGACGTGTTTTGGACGTAATAGTCATTGTTTACATTAGCAGGAATTGCTAACACTCAGAGCTAAGCTGTACTGGAGAGCATGTGTAAGAAGCAGGATATAAAAAGGAACTCATCTTGTGGTAAACCCGCAAGAGAGAAAGCCTTTGAGCTCCATACTGTTTCAGAAATAATCCTTGATCTAATAATTCTTGATCTAATAATCCTTGTGTTTCATCACCGCAGCATTTTAGACAGTATCTGCCAGGTCCCGCATGAGCCGGCATAAGCTCCACCCCCTCTTATTTGTTTCAGTAAAAAAAAAAAAGAAGCTTTATACCCAGAATCAGCACTTTTGTAACAGGAAGAGAAATAGAGGGATATGAGGCATGGGTGATCTTTTTTTTTTTTTTTACCAAAACACATGTTTTTTATATTTTCTTATATATCTGAGACCTATGCTATTGCCTAAAAATAGCATGATAGGTGACCTTTAAACAAGCGTTTCTAAACGTATTGAGGCAAACCTTCTTTGGGGTCGACCCCGATGGCGATGGTGTTTTTCATGGAGCTATTGACGGCCAGGACCACATCAGCAAAGTAGGGGATGTCCAAAGAGACCATCCTGATGTCTGTCCTCCGGGCAAAGATCAGGAAGCTGCTCATCCCTGCGCACACAAACACACAAACACCATATTTCAACACACATCACAGCATCTTTCCGTCAGAGTACAAAGGTGGGCTGACATGCTTTTATCTCTATGGAAGATAAACTTTTGACATTTTGAACTTTTAATCTCCTATTTGCAGGCTTAGTCAAGGGTTTTTGTCGCTTTCATTGTATTTCCTTTTAAGTATTTGCTTTTGAGATTCATATATTTTGGGACTTTGCACTACATCTCCCTTTATGCCTTTGCTCATGCAGACACATGTTGCCTAGGAGGTCAATGAGTTACAGTAGATGTAAGCCAAACATATACAAGTCATATCATAAGGTATTTGCATTGTGGCCAGCGCATTAACATTATTAACAAGAAGGTGTTGTTTACACTGAAAACATGGATGAACAGAGAACAATAACTGCATTATTTTTGACACTGAAGTGGGAGTTTGTACCAGGCGTGCAAGTCTTTCCATCCGTCTGCAGGTTGATGCCGGTGGGACAGGCACAGCTGGAGGCTTTGGGAGCAGGGGCCAGGAGACAGAGGTGGCTGCAGCCTCCATTGTTCTCTGCACACGGGTTACGAACTATAGGTGGAGACACACAAAGCAACTCAGCTCATCCACCATCCTACTTTCTAGGCTAGCTTCAAGGCAAGGAATGGATAGGGAATGGGGAAGGTTGGGGAAACAAAAACACAGCTTCCCTGAAGGGAACTTGGGGAAAGCCCCACACATGAGATGGATGAGATCAGTGAGGTTTCAGTTTGGTATGTGCCCCCCGAGGCTCTCTGCCAGTGATCTAGGTTCAGTTTACCTGTAATACCCTCACTGTCAGCAGAGACACGGGATCTGAGCTCGGAGGGAAGGCGGCAAAAAAAGGCTTTTTTCCCTTTGTCACAAGAGACTACACATGTCCAACAGGAATGTATGTCCCTGTTATTGCTGCACATTGGATTTGAAATGGAATAATGACTATGAGTTTTAGGTAAGTGTGAAGAAAGGCTGAAACGAGCTATTTGCCGATTATATTCTCGATTAATCAATTGATCTTTTGTCTATAAAATGTCAGAAAATTGTACACCCATTTTCTCAAAGACTAAGGTTTAATTTAAGTAATTGTGTTGTCACTCCAAACCCTAAAGATATGTATTTTCATATTAAACAGAGACAAGCTGAATTTGAGAGGCTTTAAACTGCAGTTTTTTGTTTCTCCTTCTTTCCTTGAGGCTCTTTTGCGAAGTCTGGGCAAATAACTGTAATTAGCTAGTATAAATGGCTAGCGTTTCTACACTGTTTATTTGATGTGCATCTAAACATCCTCAAATTACAGCTTGAGAGTTCCAATTGTCATTGTTTCATTCATTTGAATCTAATTTAATCTAAAGGGTTGCAGCACAGACCCAAAACAATTAAAGTTTTTATTATTTTCCTGATGCTAGCTGACAGTGCTTCAGTCTTGTTCCAGCACGTGGATGAACACAGACCTGTCTCCCGGTGTCTGTGGAACATGTGGATGTCCATGAGGTTCTCCAGGTTTTCTGCGAACGTGTGTCTTCCCAATCCGGTGAGCTTGTCCGCGCTCTGGATGCTCTTTGACTGCCAGTCCGTCCAGTACAGCTTGTCCTCGTGCACAGTGAGGCCGAAAGGGTGGGGCAGCTGGCTGCCAATCAAAACCTGTGGGCAAATAATAGAAAGTAAACATCATTTTACAGACTTTCTCAGACAAAATCAGCATGAATATATTGATTTTATGGGAATAAAGATAACTTTATATTGTCATATCAACACCCGTTACCTGTCGATCGGAACCATCAAAGTTGCCAAATTCAATGGTCTTCATGCCAGCGTCTGCCCAGTACAGGCGTTGTGTCTCGTAGTCGATGGCGAGCCCGTTGGGCCACGTCAGATTAGACGAGATGATGACAGTCCGATTAGAGGCGTCCATTCCTGCACGCTCGATCTTTGGGTTGGCCCCCCAGTCGGTCCAGTACATGAAACTACGTTGAAATAATAACACCAGTAAGACAAATATTGCCATGCGAAGGTGAGGTTTTTATGTTTCAACTTTCGTCTTCTCACCCTCCAATCGGGTCGACGACGATATCCCTGGGCCGGTCCAGGTTCTCCCATATCAACACAGTCCGCATGCTCCCATCTGCGTTAGACACCTCGATACGATCCGTACCTGAGAATCCCAATATGTTATAAATTGTTGAAATCCAAGAGCACCCACCGCTATGTGCAATCATTTATTTTTATAAATCAGACATATGTTTTAAGGTGAAACGTGAACAATGTGAAATGATGATGCTTACCAGCGTCGGTCCAGTAGAGCTTGTGGGTCACCCAGTCAATCGCCAAACCTGCTGGGCTCTCCAGACTGGTGTCCACCACCACCTGGAGAAACAGGGACAACAATGTTTTAATATAAACTCTACTACATTACTGTTGCACTTTCCCATTAGCACTAGTAGATGGCAGTATTGCATAATATTATATCCTGCTGCTGCCCTCGCCTAAATTGAGGACATATGAGAAATGATGGGATTAATTCAGACTGCAGAGGACACTGACCTCCTGCTTGGTGCCGTTCCACAGCGCTCTGTTGATGGAGTCTGTGGTGACGTCTGTCCAGTAGATGTAGCCGTCTTTGGCGTCCCAGTCCAGAGCCACGGCATTACGCACGTCAGCCAGAGGGATGACATCATCGGACATGTCCTCTGTATCAAAGCTGATTCGTCGGATGTCCGTCCTTCGGGCAAAAAGCAGGAACTTGTCAAGACCTGATTAAAGACCAAAGGTCTTCTGTCAGTCTCTAGGTTTAACAGTGGGGTCAACAGTAAACACAGCATAACAATACACACACTCAACAAGCAGCTCAAACACACTCACTGATAAACATCGTAACTGATAACCCTTCCTCTAACATGATTATATTATATATTATTATGATGGTAAAATGTAGATGTTTTTTATGAATACACGTTGTGTAAACTTTAACAATATTTAAAGTGCTGCAAATGTCACAGGGTAATGAACCAACTAAAGAAAAGGATTCATTAAAAACTATTCAAAGAAATTAAATTGTTGTTCAGGACTTCTTTAGCGGCACTGAATCGTAACATGATGTAATTTAACTTTCCATCAGATAAAATGTCACTTCAGTGGATGTCTTATAATCCTCTGCATGCACATGTCATTCTCTAAAACAAGTGTTAGCTGACTACACTTGCTGTTGTTGGCATTAATTGCTTTGTGAATAAATAGATATGCAACATTCACTCAAATATGACATATTGTTAACATCCAGATGGTGAGGGACTCACCGCTTGCACAGTTGGAGTGGTCCACCTTCTTGAAGCCGGTGGGACAGGCGCAGGTGTGGGTCTTGTTGCTGGGGAGACACAGGTGGCTGCAGCCCCCGTTGTTGGTGCCACAGCGGTTCCTGCCACCTGCAGGAGAGACAGAGACACAGCTCAGTATGTGATGCTCTATGTGGTTAGACACTTTGAGAAGAGGCTATTTTATACACTCTGTTGGTCCACCAAAATGTCCCTACTCTTTGGCTGCCTGATTTCTCTACATAGAGGTCAAGTGTGTGGGTTAAAAGGTGTGTGTTTGTGTTAATGCCACGTATTTTTAGACTCTTGTGAGTATTATTGGCTTCAGCAAAGATTACTTCTTCATCGGTGTAGGTTAGCCGAGCTCCCTGTTCTTAAGCCATGCCCCCTTTTAACTCATTAACCATTTATTGTAGACTTATCTATTAGGCATCATTGTGTGTGTGTGTGTGTGTGTGTGTGTGTGTGTCTCAGCTGTTGCAAAATTATTTATAATATTTTGGTGGCCAATCTGGGACTTTGGTTGCATGTCAGGCCTTCTCACTCTCGATGTTGAATGTCTGCTTCTTTTTTGTGAACCATTAAACTAAATCACGTTTTTTTCCATTTAAACAGACAGCAGAGCTTGAGTTTTTTGTTTCTTCAAAAGTAAATCAGTCACAGTGTGTGTCTGGATTTCACTCGTGATCTGAATTGTACACTTGATGAAGAGTTATAATCTATTCCACTTGCACATGAGCTCACATGACTCACTGAATCTACAGCGAAACAAAAGGACTGACCTCCCTCTGCCATCGTAGCTCTCTGTTTAGTGTCTAGCTGTTATAAAACCTTATCAGAATGATTATCAACATGTTCTCTTGGCCAGAACTCAAGTTCAACATGTTTTGTTAGCAGAGAACACAAGTTTTGCCATCATGCTGATAAAATACCTCAACAGGCCAGTTACCCACAGGGTGTAACACAAGTGCAACAAATCATTCCATCAGCGCTGGGTTTGCCACCACATGAGAAAAGTTTTCACTTCTGTGTTCAATAAAGGTTCCAGTTTTTCACGTCTGTCTTCATCGAGCTCATATCAAAAAATATATAAATACCGTTGTATCAATATTGCGACAATACTGAAGGGATGAATATTTACGCAATAATAATATTCATCAGCAGGCCATCGGTAATGTGGATATAATGACTATGTGGGTGATGGCAAATAATAAAACATCTATGAAAGTCTGGTATGTTTACATTTACAGTATGCAATATTGCAATATGGACAAATAATGTTGCATATTACTGCAAAACCTAAATAAAAGGATTAGCAATGTTGACTTTTGCCATTTCATGGTGCTGTTCGTAGAAAGAGGAAAACATATTGAATCCTTCTGTGTGATGCGATTGATAGACCTGATTCAGGTGGCAGCTTTGTGACCTTGCTATTATTCAACAACAATGGCAGAAAATATATGTTCATGTATGTTCATGACAGTACTAGCTTTTGATGAAACATAATATAATAAACACACTTTATCTAACTCCCTTCTTTCCTCTTATCCTCGCATAGATCCTCGCTGCTATCACTCAGATGGATATTTTACAAACTTTAAACTCAAGTTGGTCTCCAGCATGACTGAGTACTGACCTGCAGGCTGCCTCTGGGGGTGCAGGGTGTGGATGTCCATGGGAAAGTGCAGCTTGTTGCGAATGATCTCCTGGTTCTTGCCGGTGAATTTATTGGCACTGTTGATGCTTTTGGTGTGCCAGTCTGTCCAGTATAGGCTGTCCTCAAACACAGTGATGGCAAACGGATGGGGCAGGCCTAGAAACACAGATAGAGAATATAAATGCTCGATGGTGTGTGCGATAGAACAACAAAAGGGCATCTTTCAGGAACAATGAGCAGTAATGATAAAACGCAGGCGCCAAGTCTGGCATCATCATGGAGTAATGATTTTGTGAGTTTCATGTGGACGTTTAAATCCAAACACACAGACAAAAATGGAAAGAACAACCACTGCATTTGGCTTGTTCCACCAATGCTCTCCAAACATCCTCCCTTTCAGTGCTGCGGGCTTAGCTGATGTCATAACGTCTCCATTTAGAGCTGCTTTCAATTACCCTGCCTTTCATTGGGCTATAGCTGGCTTAGTTGTGGTCAGAGCGGCCAAAAGCAGAGATTCTCCATCAGGATACTCAAATAATGTGACTTTTCCATGCAGGATCTGAGAACAGTCTTTAAGAGCGTTGGGCTGGTGCAAGAGACTGATACGCAGCGTCCACACGGCGGCGTGCGCTGAAGTTTGCCGGCAGGCGTGTCTGAAACTCGACCAACAACCAATCACATAAATCTCCCACCCCGGACACATTGGTTTGATTGGCTAGAGCTTGTACTGGCATATGATTTGATTGGCTGACGCTTCCGCCGAAGCTTCAAAAGTTGAACATTGCTCAACTTTTGAAGCGAGCAAAGCGAAGCCACGCTCCCACAATGCCGTTCGGCAAAGTGTGACGTCACCCCATTCAAAGTGAATGGGCAGAAGCGTTGAGGCTTCAACGCACACCGCCGTGTGGACGGGCCGATCGTGTTCGGATATGTACCTCTCTTAGTCAAAACAATATTTTATTTACCTTGTAGCTTTGAATAATTTAAATAGGAGATTGTAATCTGATGGACAGTTATATATCCCAGTCTTTTCACTTACAAGGTGATGCATCCTAACCCTAACAATCTCCCAAGATGAGATTTATTGGAGAGTTTAATTGTTTGTTGATGGTCTAAATGCTTTTTAAGAGAATTCTTTAGCTAGTAGAGAAATACTTTTGTGCAACAACAATACATTTGTATTGGCCTTGTTGTCTTAAAACATGTTTTTCCCACTATATATTAAACACAGCATGTCTTTTGAACAAGCAATGATCACAGTTAAAGATGGATGGATAGCAAAAGCTGGTTACGAAAGCTTTTAAAAAGTTGGCTGCATTAGAACTGGATATCAAGGCTTTGAGTCCTTTATATTTTAACAAGTTGTTGACATCCAGTCAGTGGAAGCCATGCCTAAACAGTAACACGTGTAACAGCCAGGGAACTCCTCGCATATTTGTCTCTATTGGGAACATCTGCTCAGGGTGACGTTCTCTTTCTCTCTCCAGCTTAATCATCCTCCGGTGAAGTATCTGTGCAACCAGTTGGATGTGAGTGCCAAATGGATGGAAAAAGTGATTCCTGAGCCGTGGTGGAGTGGCAAGTATGTTGGCCCAGGGCTTTTAAAACAGCGCTGCTCATTTAATGACAGTGTTTAACAGCAAGGCATATGTCAAGTGGTAAATGGCTAAAACTGGAGAAAAGACAGATGAATAAGGAACCACGAGGATTAGAGTAATTGTGTGTGTACTTGAGCTAAAATTCTATGAAACAAAAGTTTTATTATTTTAATCTAGGAACGTCTTCTGTTTAATTCCCCTTTGGTTTGCACCTTCATTAGTGTGTAGATGAAAGAAAATATGTAATATATCTCAGTTTGTCTCCAGAAAAAGTTTACTATACTCTGTTATTGTATCTTATCTTTGGTGCAGCAGTAAAAGCTTGTGTTGGCTGCAGCACAAACATGCCAAAGATTTGTAGAAACTGTTTGCCAGTACACATTTTTTCCACCAAAGTTCACAGACTAGTTTAATTTCTTAACTCTTAAATATTGCGCCTAGTACATATTTTAGTCATATAGTTTTAAATGGCTATGGCTCAATCCGATGTTTTAAAAAGTGGATGTCACAGACTTTTGGAGGACATACATTTTGATTTTGTAGGACATGGGAAGCTCTATCGGGATGGCTGTTGGTTCTGTTATGTTTTATTTTAATAATAAGTTATCTCGGCTTTCAGGATACTGGCCATGCGAAGTTGAGAAGAACGGGGACATAGAACAAAGAAAATCAAAATAACAACATATAAAACTAGATTTGTGCAGGTATTGTAGATATATTATTAATATAAAGTGTTTTTCATTCAGATTTAACATTGAATTCCTGTATTTATCAATATGTTATGCAATATGCTGTATTGTCAGTTTCCTGTGTATTTTGACCTTAAAAACTATAACTGTTAACTGCATTTACCATGTTTACTGGCATGACAAAGCATAAATGTACAAATAACTGGTATTCCTTTCATAAAGTCAGCATAGGGAGTAAAAGCTCAACTTTATCATTAAACACTAAAAGATGAACAAAAATGTGCTGATGTCTGGAGTAGGGACGGAATAGTTTGAAAATGTTTGTAAGTGCTGCTGAAATAATAGAGGTTGGTAATAATAATAATAATAATAATAATACATTATATTTATATAGCGTTTTTCTACAACTCAAAGACACTTTACAGTATGAGGGAGGGTAGACAAACAAGGACAGGCAAACAAATGAATAGAGTAAAATAAACAGTCAAGAGGAAGTTGATTGAGAGGGGGGGGGCTTATGGGTAGACACTGACAGAGTTGAAAAGATGTGTTTTGAGGCGGGACTGAAAGACTGTGAGGGACTCAGAGTCACGGAGATCTTGGGGGAGGGAATTCCAGAGCCTAGGAGCTGCCACTGAGAAGGCTCTGTCCCCAAAACTGCAGAGTGTGGATGTGGGAATGGATAGGAGTCCGGCTGTGGTGGATCTGAGGGACCGTGGGGGTTGATAAGGGGTGAGAAGGTTTGTGAGATAAGGGGGGGCCAGATGGTGGAGTGCTTTGTAGGTGAGGACCAGAATTTTGATGCAATGGGAGACAGGAAGCCAGTGGAGGTCTTTGAGGACTGGGGTGATGTGATGCCATGATTTGGTATGCGTGAGGAGACGTGCAACTGCATTTTGAACCCGTTGGAGTCTGTTGAGGGATGTAGTGCTGATGCCGTAAAGAAGTGAGTTGCAGTAGTCAAGGCGGGAGGAAATTAAGGCATGGATTAGTCGTTCGGCTGCGGGGCGGGTGAGAGAGGGTCAGATTTTTGCAATATTGCGGAGGTGTAAAAATGAGGTTTTGACTGTGTGGCGAATGTGAGGTTCGAGGGAGAGGGTGGGTTCAAAGATTACGCCAAGGTTGCGTGCCTGATTGGAGGGGGAAACAATGGTGCCATCGATGGTGAGTGTTATGTTAGTGACCTTGCTGAGGGTGGATTTGGAGCCGATTAGGAGGAGTTCTGTTTTGTTGCTGTTCAGTTTGAGGAGGTTATGTTGCATCCAAGTTTTTATAGCTGTCAGACAGGAATCGATGTGGGTAAGGGGTGGGTTATGGAGGGATTTGGTGCTGAGGTAGATCTGAGTGTCATCAGCATAGCAGTGGAAGTCCAGCAGTGGAGTATCTGACCGAGGGGGAGGATGTAAATGATAAAGAGGAGGGGGCCAAGTACTGATCCTTGAGGAATGCCTTGGGTGACTGAGGCTGTGGCAGAGGAGTGGTTTGGGAGGGAGATGAAGTGGGATCGTTCAGTGAGGTAGGACTGGAGCCATCTGAGTGCAATACCTTCAATACCAATGTCCCTGAGTCGGGTGAGCAGGATGTTGTGGCTCACGGTATCAAAGGCTGCACTCAGGTCGAGGAGGATGAGAATATTGAGGGAACCAGTGTCAGAAGAGGTGAGGAGGTCATTGAGGACTTTGACGAGTTCAGTTTCTGTACTGTGCTGAGGACAAAATCCAGACTGAAGGGGTTCGTAGAGCTGGTTGCTTTGGACATGGCAGTGGATTTGTTTGGAAACAATGCGTTCAAGAGTTTTTGAGAGGAATGGTAGGTTGGAGATGGGGCGGTAATTAGTGAGGGAGGAGGGAGGATTGGAGTAACGGCAGCAGTTTTGAAGGCAGAAGGGACGGTTCCATGGGACAGCGAGGAGTTGAAAAGGTTAGCAAGATAGGGGCAGAGGACGGGGAGGCAGGACTTCAGGAGAGGAGTGGGTAGAGGGTCAAGGGAGCAGGTTGTGGGATTTGAGGAACCGATCAGATGGAGTATTTCAAGTGGGGTAACCAGGTTGAACTGGGAGAGGCGGCGCTGGAGAGGAGGAGTCAGGAAGACAAGGGAGATGGGGGGAGAAGTGGTAGCGGTGGCGGTTGGGGGAGATGCTTGTAGATCAGATGGAGCTGAGAAGCAGTGGTTAATGGCGTTAATTTTGTCTGCAAAAAACTGGAGGAAGGAGCTGCAAGTAGTGGAAATAGAAGTAGGGAGGTTGTCAGCACGGGGTTTGAAGAGCTTGTTAACTGTGGAGAAGAGGGTCCTGGGGTTACAGGAGGGGTCAGTGGAGATGTTGGTGAGGTAGGCAGATTTAGCGGCAATAAGAGCATCTTTGTACGCATTGAGTTGGAGTTTGTAGCGTATGTGATGGACTGTGAGGGATGTTCAAGTTGGCGGCCTCGCTGCTTCATTTTATGCAGTGCGGGTGTGAACCAGGTTGAGGAGGTTTTGAAAGTAACAGTTTTATTTTTGAGGGGGGCTAGAGTGTTGAGGGAGGTGAGTAGGGTGGAGTTGAGGTGGTTGAGCAGATCATCAGGTGAGCTGAGGTTTGGGTCCAGGGGAAGATTAGACGATAGCAGTTCGGAGAGATGGTTATGGTCAATGAAGTGTAGATTACGGAAGGTGATGGTTCTGGGTGGGGGAGGCAATAGTGAATTGTATGAGTTTGTGGTCGGAGTTTATGGTCAATCACTGGGAGGTTGGTAGAGCAAACAAGATCAAGGATGTGTCCTTTGTCATGGGTGGGGAAGGTGACATGTTGGGTGATAGTGAAATTGTCCAGTAGGGTTGTGAATTTGGATGCCAGCTTGCAGGTGGGTGAGTCAATGTGAATGTTGAGGTC